GCTGCTTGCCGGCGCTGACACGAAGTTTCGCGCCACCGTGGAGCCTAGCAGCACAAAAGCTGCGGCAACCAGCACGCAGGGCAGGAGCCCACGTGCCCTCATGGCCATCACGTCTCTTTCTAAGGAAATCACGCCAACTTAGAGCCTAGATGCCTTCGGGTTGGCAACTTGATGCAATCTGCTGGCTCTGCGTTTGCTGCAGGCCAATGTTTGCACAACAATACCCTTGCAAAGCCTTTTTTTCGAACCTTGAAACTAGAAGGCAAGCACAAAGGCTGCGAGAAGTAGTCACTGAAGATTCCTGGCTCCGTGTGGAAGCAGGTATTAGGCTCATTGAGACACATTGAGACGGGCTACCAACCCCGTCAAGCTTTCAGGAAACCTGCGGCTGTGCCTGAAAGTAGGGGTACGATGGCAGGAGGGGATTGGCCCGCTGCTTGATATATGCAACCTGATCACTTAGCCCCACTCGTTGATGAGGCGGGCATCGTCACCCAGCGAGCCTCCGAACCGAGGGTCGTCGTTGCTCAGCTTCGCAAAGAAGAAGATGCTGCCAATGGTCAGCGCAATGACGATGGGGAAGTAGATGGTTGCTGGAAGCATCTCGTCGCTCTCCTCCTGGAACTTGATCTCGGGCTCGAGACCCCACATGTTCCCTTTTCGGTCCTGGTCAAATGAAATCCCAGCGTTGGACTGCTCGTTCATCAGGCGCATGTCGGGCTTCGGCATCCCAAAGGCGCCTTTCTTCTCTTCTTTCTTCTCCTCAGTCTTCTGCCCAGGCTGCGGCAATGCTCGCAGCGCCTTGGCGGAATTCCTGCTGCTTGCCGGCGCTGACACGAAGCTTAGCGCCACCGTGGAGCCCAGCAGCACAAAAGCTGCGGCAACCAGCACGCAGGGCAGGAGCCCGCGAGCACGCAACGCCATTTTGACCAAGTTGTCTAAGAACTTGCAGGGCGCCCTCTAATCCAGGACATTCAAACAAACGCATCCGGACATGCAAGTTGTAGCTTGCGAATGTAATTCTTGCCATGACAGTCATGCAAGGCTTTGCTCCCGGCTCATATCATTCCTACGTCCAGCATGACCCGGTTCGTTTTGGGACGGTTTCAAAGGCCACTCGTCGAAAAGAAGCTTCATGCACATAAGAATGTACAAAATGAAGGTGAAAGCCTGCTACGTGTGAGAAAGGTCCAGCCGCGGCCTAGCCCCACTCATTGATTAGGCGCGCGTCATCGCCGAGCGCGCCTCCAAATCGAGGGTCGTCGTTAAAAAGCTTCGCGAAGAAGAAGATACTGCCAATGGTCAGCGCGATGATGACTGGGAAGTAAATGGTGGCTGGCAACATTTCGCTATCGCTCTCTTGGAACTTCACCTCTGGCTCGAGACCCCACATGTTGACTCGTTGGTCCTGATCGTAGGACAGTCCAGTCTTGGACTGCTCGTTCATCAGGCGCATGTCGGGCTTTGGCATCTTGAAGCCACCCTCTTCCTTCTTTGCGTCTGTCTTTTGCCCAGGCTGGGGCAATGCGTGCAGTGCCTTGGCAGTCGTTCTGCTGCTTGCTGGCGGGGACACGAAGCTTCGAGCCACCAAGGATCCCAGCAGCATGAAGGCTGCGACAACCAGAGCGCTGGGCAAGAGGCGAGAAGCCATTTTGCCGAGCTACCTTCAATCAGCAGGACTGCCCTTGTCCCTTAATGCCAGCCATGACTGCGCCGAAAATCGTGCGGCAACTGTCTTCTCCAACAAAATGAAAATGTTGCAACACAGAGGCCAAAAGGCCTTGCTGCCTCCAACATCCCTGCTGTGCATCAACACTCTGAGTGCTGCACAAGTAGTACGGCGTCAGGAACGGGATCAGGGGTATGACCTGGCAGAAGCAGACACGCAAGCCATAGCAACGGGTGGGTGTAGGTTTGGGGAACAAGGGTTGTTTCGTGGAGGGAAGGCAATCTCACCGGTACACCCTCTACTATCCATGTTTTTTGTGAGCCCAGAGCTCCCTCCTGTCAATGGCCTGTCAAGCTGAGGGTCGCACCGCAACATAAGACTTAGACCTTGAAACCCCAAACCTCACTTCCTGAACCCGTCAGTAGACGCTAAACATGAGACCCTAGACTCTAGACCTTACAGCCTAATGAATCAGACCCTGGTCCCTCAATCTTACACCCCCAGTTGCTGAGTTCCCTGGCCCCCAACAGGTTAACCTTTGTATTATAATAGGGCTATATATACCCCAAAAAGTTAAAGCAAATCCTTGTCGATGATACACCCCAGCGTTATTGCGTGAGTGTATCACTGTACAATCAATTAAACGCGAAATCGTAGGGGAAAGTTGTCCTTTTGGGCTGAAGGTTACCCATCCAGCCACCAAGCACCCAAAACCTAGTTAACACACGAAGGGAGCACCAGGGGCTGACTCCGCTCCAACGTGGGAATCACAATCAGCCTCTAGCTGTGATCCCAAGTTCATGGCTTGGGTTCCCTAGAACCTAAACCCCTAAACCCTTAAAAGGGGGTTATACAGGGGTTATACAGCGATAATGGAAAAGAACATGGAAACTACTATTTCGGGTGCAGGGTTTAGGGTTTATACCACGCTTTTTTGCCCTAAATTGAACCCCTTTGAACCCAGACCCGCACCAAACCCTAAACCCTAAACCTATTGGGTTTAGGGATTCAGGGTAGCAGCGGCTTCAGGTTCATTCAGGCTTGAAGGGCTCAGGCTCAGGGATATAACACGGTTTTAGGGGTTTTGGTCTTTCTGAGGCGCTTGATTTTGGAATTTCGGGGGCGGGTTGTCTGTCTTGATCAGAATATTCTGAAACCCGACAACTTATTGGCGGTTTTTCATCCCAGCCGTTTGCCAACATTGTGCCTTAATTTCTGATCTAAAGCACCCCGTCCATCCGCAAACCTCCGAACACACTTAACAACAAAGAAGTGGCAGAACGCCCCCTAAATCCCAAGCCCCAAGCTTCTAGTACCCCAAACCCTAGCGAAAGGTGTCTGGTTGGCCCTGTTTTTTGCATAGGCTTTCTTTGTACGGCTTAGTCTCTAGGCAACCCTGTGCTCATCAGCAGGGCCATGTTCATTGTCGAGATGCAAAATTCCCCGGGAAGTAGCTTAAGAGCGATTGAAGAAAAACCTGAGGAGTTTCTACTCATATGCTCATCTGCCCATGAACTTCTTATGCAACTAGGGCACGGCATGCCCCATATAGTCCAGAGAACATATAGTGCACACTCCTACTAATCTAGTCACTAGTTCAACCCTATAACCCTCAACCCTAACCTAAGACCTAAACCCTAAACCCCTACACCCTTTTGCAACCCCTGCACCGTCAACCCCTAAACCTTAACCCCAAAACCCGTCAGCCAAGGTGGCAGCGCTGCTCCCGAGGCCTTGTTCACAGCTGTGAACCTTGGCGGCTACGGTGGATAATGGACATCCTGCATGATCCTAAGTACCTTGTACTTCAAGAATAATGGGACTATAGTACATCAGGGTCATGCAGGGTCTTTAGCATCAACAGCATCATCGAAATCTCTCAGAATCGTGCTCTTTGGGGTCATAGATTTAGAGTTAGTGACTTTGTCAAAATGGTACTCCTTGGGGTTGAGGATATTATGTAGTTGGCGAATTTCTCCAAGTAGCCACCCCGGGAATTTAGTCTCCAACCCTTGGAATTTAGCAGACCTATTGAGGTTATATAAAGTTAAAGTTATATAGGGATTATATTGGGGTTATATAGGGGTAATGGAAAAGAAAATGGAAACGACTATAATGGGTTATAAAAGTTCTACAGCAGCTTCTGCAAATTGGGGCACCCCAGTTCACAAGCAGGAGGAGCTTTGTCAGGTTCTGGGAAAGGTATACACAAAGTTTCGGGGTTAGCTCAAAATTGGGATTGTCTGAATTGTCTCCATATGTGGGGAGTAAGGAAGGTCAAGGCAATCCTTATCAATTAAGATTAGCCTAAACCCTAAACCCCTAAACTCCTAAACCCTGAAGCCCAGATTACAGGAACATCATCTTAGAGACTGCCATGTGGAAATTTCTCACATTACATGAGGATCCCCCCTGACGCCGTAACAAGTTATGATTTTTCGTCTAATGACCCCAACCAGGTCTCTATATGGAGGAGAACCTGCTCATGACAGCAGCAGGACCTGCGGCAGTAATCGACTATTCAAATGCACTGAATAGTGAATAGTGAGGACAAGGAAGCCCCACACATCTCTGCAATCACCATATCTTGAGTTGAGTCCTGAGCATAACAATACTTAGTTTGATAAGTGGTCGCCAGTGCTACTCTAGGAAACCTTTTTCACTGCACATACACTCCGGACGCCTTTCAAGGACGGCACGCAACGAATTCATTGCGCGGGCCCCAGCAAAGCGTGAAATCAACGCCTGGGCGGAAGAAGCTTACAACCCTTCAAAGCTTCATGGCATCTGACAGTGGTACCGCTCAACCATCCAGACGTTAACTGCAAGATCTGGCATCACCCTTAAAAGCATGTGCTTCGGGCGCAGTCGGCTCTCCTATATTTGGGACATCAAGAAGGCTAACAAGATGCACAAATACGAGCCCAGAAAGCACTGCAGACCCTATGAAGCGATCTCTCTCTCACGTGGAGCATCCAAAAAACAAGAATTTTGCCGAAAGTCTACACCCTGCACCCTAAATACCAAAATTTCACCTAGATAGCCACCCCCCAAAAAAATACCCAGACTTCTCCAGATGAGAAGCAATGGATTACAAGGACTGGGTTGGTGTTGGGGAACTTAAATTACTGTAAGTTACCGTAATATGGCTATATTGTAGATAATGGGGCTTCTGTATTATAGTACTAAAATTTAAGTTCCTTAACGGCATCATCCCAAATTACAAGCAGCTTGGCTGAGTCCAGAGCCGTGGCCAGGTACTGGCAGGAGCCGTTGATCTGCCATTCGGGTTTAACGGTTTAGGGTTTCGGCACCCGCATCGCACTCAAGCAGGCACGGTTCGTTCCGGCCAGAACGCAAGAGACTCAGGTTTAGGCTTTAGGGTTTTAGGGTTAAGGGTTTGCGGCTTTATCTCTCAACCCCTCGCACTTTGATGTCTGCCAGGTTTAAGGTTAGTTTAGGGTGAAGGGGGAGGGTTTCGGCACTTGGCACACGTGTCGCACTGCTAGCTTGGGAATGTTCCAGGGCTTGGGGTTTAGTGGGGGAGTGGATATAGGGGCGGACTATTGTAGGGGTACATATGGGGATAATTTAATGTAGAGATAGTTATAACTTATAAGGATCCACTCACCCTCACCCACCTCCGATAAGCGCCAGGAATTAAGCTGTTCTTCTGTTTTGCGACTGTTTGCTTAGGCAGGCATATGTGGAAGCAGACGCTAGCGCTAGCTACAAGAGTCTTAACACAAATGCCATAAATGTCCTGTGAGCGTGATTTCGTGGTTGGAGCAAAGTAAGATCATATTCTTCCTAGAGAAGGTATAGTCTTGCTCTTCATCGCAGGCCATAGGATCTACAAATTCAAATCAAACACTACTCATATGACTGACTGCGCTGACCACTGGCCTCCAGTCACTGGATTGACAAGCGCCACCTTTCCATCTGGGCGGCACACCTTCACTACAATGTAAATATGTTATGTGATCCCCCTGCTCATTGATAGCGAACACAAGGCGTATATTGGTCCTTCCTTTCGGGTCCCATGTATTCCCATGTGTTCCTCATAAACCAGTCTCAGTGAGCAGGGGGACCACCATTGCACATGAATGCAAATCAATACACATGTCCTGGCAGATGGGTGGTCTTGCACGTGTGCACCTATGGGAGTTCGGTTCACCTTGCCTGTCTGACGATGCATGTCTGAGACCAGCGCAGCAACCCGGTTCCGGACAGAAGACCTGCTGCTTAGTACTAAGCTTGCTGATGCTTAGAGGGAGACAGAAGGAGTGGAGGAACCAATCCCTAAGGTGGTTCTCATGCAGTCCTGCATATGTGTCATGTTTTCCTACTAAGTAGGGAACACAGGGTACAGTGATTCCTGTACCCGTCTACCTAACCATCAGCTTAGCACTAGCACTTGCTCAAATGCCAATCTTGCCGCCTCGCATGCGCCAGGTGGATCGCATAGGCCCAGCCTGCACCTCGAGAACGGATTATAAAGGGGTGTATAAGGGATTAATCAGGGTTGATAATGGGGTTTTAGGGGTGGTTATAGGGGGTGGCGATAAGGGGGTTTATAAAGTGATCATGTAGGGTTTAGGGTTGAATGTTGGAGTGCATGGAAGCCATGTTGATCCATATATCCCCCTATAATATCCCTATTTAATCCCGAAGTAAACCTTATGTAATCCCTCTATATCCACTATATAATCCTTATATGAATCCTATATACTCCCTCTATAATCCCCATATAATCCTTTATATAAACCCTATAAAATCCCTCTCTAATCCTTATAACGCAATTCTTTGCAGCCCCGCTGAGCACCACGCTCCGACCAAAAGCCGCATCTTGCCTGGGTCTGAGCCCACGTTTAGTCCCCCTTTAAGTAGATAGAATATGGGGTATATTACCGATAGAATTTAGGGTTTAAGGTTTAGGGGTTTGATTCCTTTAGTAGATAGAATATGGGGTATATTATTGG